ATCTTAGGGGCAGCTCCCGCACATGCAGCTTCGCGGGTCGAGAGGTGGAGAGCGGTCGCAAAGGCAGGCCTTTTACATCCACCAGGACTACGCGATCGTCGAGGCCAGACGTCGTTTTGGTTTTGACCTCCAGAGGGAGGACTATAGAGCCCTCGACGCTGCGGGCAACGGCAGGTACATCGCTGGGATCAATCAGATCTACAACAGCTACGGTGCTACCTGGACACTCCTGTGCCGTGAGCTCCCTGCGCTAGCCGCCGTCGTACCTGCAGCCAAGGGCGGCGGCAAGGCCAAAGGAGCAGGGAAGGGGCAGCCAGCAGCACTACAATGTGCACGGCGAGGGGGGAGTTAAGAAATAACGACCCCTAAGCACCTAGTAGTGGTGTAGTAAAACATAACTTCTAGGCCTCACGTTGTAGACTGCAACAGTACATGTTTCACACCGAGAGTTACCATTGTATTTGGCTCAAGGCATGACAGGAAAACAAGGTCTACTTGCACGTCTCTGCGGTAGGCCTCTGTGTGGTTGTGTCTTGGTGTTTGTAACTATAGAAGCCTGAACTGTTACCAACATGATTGTTGAGGGCTTTTCATAGCGTTTATACAGTACTAGACTACACCAAACCCTATCCATAATCATTAAGGCCACATGTTAGGATCTTCACCACGGTTGAACAGCTCCTTTCTCTCCCGTCCCCTGGAATCAAGTCGGGTTCCTTATGTGGAAGCAGGCCCCGAACTGTGAGATGCTAGAAGCCCTCAAGCCGGAAAACGCATAACCACAATAGAAGCTTACCCTAAACCCTAAACCCTAAACTTTGCGACGGGGATAGAAGGAGTATTCTAGAATTCTGAGTCATGAGTTTTCATCTTAGTAGACAGTAATTAACCCTGTTTATTCCTTAGGGCACCGTGTTACAGCCACGTCAAACATGATATGCACCCAAAGTCTATCCTAATTGCTAAGGCCCCTCTATAGAATTACGTCATTCAGAGCCCAAGAGGCTGACTTACACTATTCACTACGCCATTGATAATCGCACGAGCCACGAGACACTGGTTTACCATCACCTGAAACTGATGGCCTCGCTTTTGTGAGCTGCGAAGGTTCGTTTTTTGTAAATGTGTGCCGTGTTTCGTGTGTGTGTGTGTGTGTGTGTGTTTGTGCTTCCGCAGCCATTCTCTCGTACTGTTGTTGCTTTTACGGGTGACATTTGGAGAACGGCAGTAAGAACGGTCCCAGCTTTCTGCTCTTAGTGTCACACGGTCTCGTGAAGGGGGGATGTAAGCAACCATAGCAGAAAGCATGAACGGCTAGTGAGGTGGTTGTAGGTACATAGATGACGGTAGGCGTTGCTACACCCGAAGGTCACTGTCGCTGTGTTTTGTTGTGGCATTTTGTGCCACCGCATACCCACTGAACCTTTCTAGCACCCTCATCGCAAGCCTATACTATCTACTGCAGAGACCCTACCAGAGTACCTTCAAACCTTGATAGCCACCTGAACGGAGTCCGAATCCTATTCCGAAACCTTTGGTAGCGAGGCAACCCTGGCTTTGAGGGCCGCCTTGCTGCATGTTGCAGCTTCTGTGTGACGGGCTTCGAAGACCGGAAGATTGACTTCGCGGATCGGGGTTAGGGTTTAGGGAATATAGGGTTTAGGGTTTGAAATGGGGTTTAGGGGTTAGGGAGTAGGGTTTACGGTTTAGGAAGAAGAAGGCATGATTACCAAGTCACAAGTCTAGGTTTGTTTAGTTCAAGACTCTACCCGACACCCAAACCCTCATGTCGTAAACCCCTCAACTGGCTGATCTGAGCGGGAGCGTCGAAACAACTCCAAGCGTAGAGTTTTTACGAAAAAAATCAAGCTCAAATGTAAGACCCTGCAACCTAAACCTTAAACCGGAAGCTTTAAACCCTTAAGCCCGCAGCTGCTCAACTAAATCCTGGCAGCCACGGGGTTCTCTGTGGCTTCTCTCAGTGTGCTGGCCTTTTCGTTTGCTGATTTCTTCTTGTTGCACTAAGGGTTCTTTACTTAATATGCAGGTCAGAAAACTGAGTATCCCTTCAGGGTTTAGCGTACCGTAGTCAATATTGTGTAGGCTCCCTTGAGCCGGAAGTAGCTTGCTGGGGAAACATTTCTCAGGAGCCTAAAAGGCATTATATAAGGTTTACTATGCGATTACCATGAGGCGCACTGTGCGTGTCAATTACGAGCTATGACCCGTAAATACACGCAAACACGACAGAAGGCCATGATATTTCACATGCCAGCCCTGCGACGCAATCGTAGTGAGATTACGAGTCATCGCAGCTAATAGCGGTAGAGTTCTAAGTAGGGTAGCAGTAAACAATCATTGCAAAAAAAGAGACGACTTTTCTAGGTTGAGTTCTGTTTTTAGATGTGGTATATGCGTGCAGGGTTCTGCATGTAGTTTAACTGTTGTCAGGGTCATGATGCTGGCCTTAGAGCTTGCACAACGCTACTTGTTCGGGCGCATCTGTTCTTGTGGTGTGAGGTTTAGGCGCGAAGATGGCTTTAGGGTGTCCTGATATATTTTTTTGAGCAGCAGCACTGTCCAAGGGGCAGCAAAGGTTGGAATGCAGGATGTTGTATTTGACATCTTACACCCTAAACCTTAAACCCCACCCTGAACCCTCAAACTTGGGTCCTTAATGATTTGACGAGACCTGCCACACGCTTCTGGTTGGTCACTGAATTATTTGCTGCTGCCGTTCTGCTACCTGGGTCTCGTTCAGGGATTTTGGGTTCAGGGTTGTGGGTTCAAGCTTGATGGGGTTTAGGGTTGGGGGCTGGGTTTTGACCTCAACCGTCAGCCCCATGCCGGACTTGGTTTGGGATGTTGAGATTGCAGATTCCGATAGCCACGAACTAGCAGAAGATGCTTCAATGTGCTACGGCACAACATCGCTTAAGGCTGCCTTGTTGCAAGACCACAAATATTACAGTAAGAGGCGAGGACGATAAGCCACAGTATACTGTGCTATCCACAGAAGCACGTAGAGCAGGAGCCTGATTGGTAAAAGCCTGGCTCGATATCCCGAAGATATTAATTGCTAGTAACAGACAAACACTCAGTCAGGGTGTCTGAACCCGGATTTTAACATTACGCATGTATAAAGTCCTTGTAGAACCCCCCCATAAAATTCCATGAGATTGTCATTGGAACCCACAAGAAAAACCAGAACGACTAGGGTCGGCTCGGCCAGTTGAGAAGAACCTCGATCCCGGTCAGGAGCTCCGCATCATGAAGCTTAGGATTTAGGGCTCAAGGGTTTAGTGATTTGAGGCTTTAGGGGTCAGGCCCAATAAACAAGCCTTGCCGCAGAGTGGGGTGTCATGATGTTGATATCAAATTTTGTGGCGGGTGTCGGGTTTGCACCCATAACTGAGGTCGGCCGAAGCCCTACCAGTGCCGGGTGAATGAGACGGCCGCTGCCGTGCAGATTGAACAGGCACGATGAGCTGTTTGTTGCCCTAAGGGTCCATGTACCCAAATAGTAGAACATAAGACCTAAAGTACCCAAATAGGGATTACATTTAGGCCAATGTTCTACTATTTGGGTACATGGACCCTTAGGGTTGATTAAGCCACACCCTGGGCTGCGAAGCCTACCAAGTAGTGCGCCTTGCTAGTAGAGACCTTTCCTTTTCTAGGGCTCCGTGTGATCGACACCATCAGTACTGTAGTGGTCGGAATAATTATGAATGATATCCCCTTTCCCTTGTAGTCCCCTTTAGATTTCTAGTAACACTACAGCGCCCAAGCAAGCAAAAAGCTCCCTGGTCGGTACAGATGGAAGACACCATCAACTGTACCAACATCAGTAGCTTGGCAAGAACTGCTTCGGGATCTATGATCTCAGGGTTTAGGGTCCTCAGGCGGTTGTACGTTACAAGTCCTGGTGCAAAAGGGTATCAATGATGAGGATCTTCATCATCTTCATCATCACCGTCCTCATCACCATCCTCATCATCATCATCACCCAGGGTTCTCTGGTATTGTTGGTCCAGATTCTGTGTAATGCCTCGATGACTTTCCATGATCCATAGGCAAGGCGAAATTACAATCGTATTTCGATTGCTGTCTGGAGCTTACAGTAAATTTCCACTTTAACAGGCGGCTTCATCGTATTTCCCAACATAATTTGCCTTTTTCTTCATTTACACTACATCCCAATACCTTCGAATACAATACTTCACCTCCACAGCAACTCTCCAGTTGAAGTCCTATGTGCAAGAAAAGCCATTCGAGACTTCCACGTGGCTGTCCCACGAGTGACCTCCGTTCAGATTAGGCTGGCAGACCCCTGAGTCCACGAGAGAGCGAGAAGCAGAGAGAGAGAGAGGGGCGCTGAGGGTTGTCAGGTGTTGGTTTGTCGTGAGAGCCGAAACCCCACCTACCACATTCCGCTAGACCTGTTCTGGGAACCGGGGGATCTGCTTGATTCACTGAGAGGTCGGAGTTTGGACCAAAGAGTTCGTGCGTCTTGCGGATACAGGACATTCTTACACCCCTAACCCAGAACCCTACACATGACGTGTCCTCAAGGCCAAACCAATTGACGCCAGATATTCTCAACCCTGAACCATATGCATCTAAGCCTATGCTTAAGACCAAGAGCCAGACTCGAAACTCATGATACTTGCGGATCCAAGCATTAGGTCGAATGTTGATGGGATTTGAAGATACCGGACTTTTAGGTTTTGGGGTTTAGGGGCTGTGCTCTTGTTTTATGGCATTGAGGGATTTGGGTAGGCCTGGAAACGAATCGTTCCACGTGCTGAAGATTTCCTCATAGACTTGGGTGGTCTTGGGCACGGGGGGGCCAATCGATGAGCAAAACAAATGCACACTAGCAGCGTTAGTACTACTTAGGGAACGTTATGGTCTGTCGTTGTCATCAGTATCGTTGTTTCACTACCTCATCGTGTTGCTGTGCTTACTCATCAGTCATCAGCTTCGTCTTCACCCTGGACATGCGCACCGATGCCCTAGCCTGCGAGCCTAGGCCTAGGCACAGAGACCAACGACACCAACGACACCAACGTCACGGGCGGCCGTCGACTTCAAACCCTGGACCCTTGTGGCATTGCATCCGTTGCGCCTGAGCTGGTATTTGCAGAGTTTGAGCGTGTCGCATGTTGTGGGTTTTATTGTTCCACCTTGTGGTTCGGGGTGTTGAAGTCTTCGGGGCTTTAGAGTTGTGTTTGCTATCTCATTCTTACGAACATGCGAGGAGCGCCGCTATAATCTTGGATGACCATAAGATGTCACGAAGAGCTTACTAGTGTTGGACGCTCCCATAGTTTGCTTGGCTACGTGCTTGCATGGAGGACTGGAGATTCCCCTTCCTGCTGTTGGTTTTACCGTACAAGTACTCTGTTCATCCTTATCTACAAGAAGAGCTTCAGACACCAATCGACCCATAGAGTCAATGCGAGTTATGTCTGGTAACCCAGAAACATGGAGATTTCTGCATCGACTCGCCAGCACAATAGGGATGATGCTGTTAGCTGTCTGAATCTTCAGACAACAAGGGACCGACAACGCGAGGCCAGCATTCCAGCAGACATCTCGGCTGACAGCCAGCCCAGCTGGACCGCTCGCCAGAGCGAAAATGCCCACATGTTATGTCTTGTACCATGACTCCTATCCGGTCAGTATCCGAACACTGCTTGCCTTTCTGAAGTTTTGTAATATTCTGCATGCCGGATACGCCATGCCTTGGTAAACCTTAGAGCCCTAACCTATACAAACCCTAACCCCGAAACCGCTGAGGCACAGGTTGGCTTGGATGGAATCGCATACTTCCACGACTGCACCGGCAAGGTGCAGTTTTTTTTTTTGCCGGCCCATGGCGCCGGGTTTAAGTTTAAGGGTTTAGGGGCTGTGCCGGCATGCATCCACGGCGGAGCATTTGCTACTTGGTATTGGTCTAGCAAACATGCGAGCAAGTAAAGGTTTGTGTGATTTTATCATAGTTCTGACTTAAACGGTGTGAAAGAACAATTTTGATACTCTCGTCACGAATAGATCACACCCGGTGCTCACGCTACAAGTACATGCTCAGTGTCAGCCAGAAGACATCATGCAGGGCACACTGTGCCTACATAAGGACAATGCGAAACACGATACTTCTCAACAGTTGCAATCGTGCAATGATGGGTGCTCGAAAAAGCAGCATGGTCATGTCGTGCATGCAACAGTCGTTTCTTCTGCAAGGTATTCCATTGTCATGTTGCTAGAAACGTAGCCAACACGTTAACTTGTGCTTAAGATTGCTACATTGCTGCAGTCAGTCCGAAGCATTGCCTGCCTTGCCGTGACTATGCCGTATTCCTGTGTGCCTGAAGCTCTCTGCTTTGACAGTGTTATGGTCTAAGACAGACTGTCATACTTGAACTCCATCGCACAGTATCTGTCCTTCACTGTTGGGGTGTCTGCATGTCTTTCAACTACATCACCTTGGACAGCTTTGACATCTAGACGTGTCCTGTACAGGGTATCTCCTCGGGACTTTCTTATGCTTGCGGCCTGTTCTTATGTTCCCGTCGGCACAAGGAATCCTGCACAACTTGTGCCGCATCCTTGCCAAGCTAGTCCGGCAGGTGCACGATGGTGTGTGCATCGCACACTGCGCACAGGGATGGAACATGACGGAGCCCGAGCCCTCCATCTTCGTTTGCAAGAGTGGTCCCTGGCCTTTGAGCTTTATATAAGGCCAGTCTCTCTTGTTGGTTTACTGTAGTAGTTCGATGCTGTCATTACTAAATGCACTAGATCTTCACCCTCCTCGCCCGAGAAAATGAACTCTTACCCGGAACAGGCTGGACCTGACAATGCAAGAAGCACGGACCTAGGGCCCAATAAGGCCCAACAATTCCCGAACAAGCCCCTTAACCCGAAAGCCCCAACATACCCTGCGTTTAGGGCTTTAGGGGTTTAGGGCTAACTTTTCTGCACCCGACCGCCAGCTCCGTTGAGGCTTCTTAGTCGGCGCGCTGCTGCCGACATGCATTCCGCTGCCGTCACTGGGCAGATGCAGTCCAGTAAGGCTTAGGGTTTAGGGTTCAGGGTTTGGGGTTTAGGGTTCAGGGTTTTGGATTTAGGGTTTAGGTGTTCAGGGTCTTTTAACGCTTAACAAGTAAGGTTCAGGGTTTTTCAACGTTACAAAAGTAAGGTCCAGGGTTTCCAGTAGGGGTTCAGGGAGTATCAGTGGGGGAGATAGGACCGAAAAGCATTTTGGACAAGCAACAATGCAGGCTTGCGGCGTGACGCCCGAACCCCCATAGGACTCTAAGCTGTTCGGCCACACGGCATAGAAGTTGCTCGTAAAACTGCGATTTTATACGGACCATAGAAGACTCTGAAGACACTTAGCAGCGGTAAACTGCTGTTAACATGTGCCATGTATCTCAGCTACAGGGATATCGCTTTACAGCAACCCTAAACCCTGTATCGCAATCCCCAGAGCTCATGTCATGTGCGCGCGCCGTTCTTGTGATGTCAGGTGCAGCTATGCCTTCCCAGATGCTCTCGGAGTGCGGCATGATTGCCCCGCTCTAAGTCAGAGAACTTGTCCTAAACCCTAAACCTTTTCAGGGTTGATGGTTTGGGTTGTGGTTGAAAGGCAGTAGTTATCGTGGTTGTAAGGCTATGGTTACTCTGCACTTGTAATGCGTTGGGTATGTACCTGCTGTTGCTAAATTCGACTCGCAGGCATGCGTAGATAAAGCCGAAGACGCGTAGGGAAAGCAATCATGGTTCGTTTGAGCGGTGCCTCGTATTTTAAGGTTCGGTAGGTTTGCAATGCAGACTTGCCCATGCTTACGGTAGTAAACTCAATTGCTGTTAAATGGCCTCTAAGGGCTGTTTGAAGTTCCTTTCCTTTTTTGATAAGTCCATTTTCGACGCATTTCGCTTCTTTCAAAGTTGCACTGGTTAGTTTTGGATAAGTCCGAGAGCATGGGTCATGGGCCACGGGCTCTACCACCTGAAGCCACCTGAATGATTTACTGAACCCTAAACCCTAAACCCTAAACCCTAAACCGTCTAGCTCTTTCCTAGTTTGAGCTTTCTATACGGCCGGCCTAAGCCTCCCTAGCCTTTAAGAACTGGGTTGTGTTTTGGGATCCTTTTCAATTTCCCTTACTATTTTGTGGAGAACCATAATAGTAAATAATTTTCAAAGGGCTTCAAGGACAACTTTAAGAAGAACCCAGAAGTCTTCAGCGAGGCCTGGGTGTTCGCTCCGCGGAAACTTGCCAGGCGACGTGCACCGAGGCAAGCCCAGGAGGGTTTCTAGACCCTGAGCCCTTAATCCTAAGCCGTGGATTCGGGGCGAGGGTTCTGCACCCCTAAACCCCTAAGCCCTAATCCTAAACCCTAAACCCTAAACCAAAACCCTAAACCCTAAACCCTAAACCCTAAACCCTAAACCAAACCCCTAAACCCTTAACCCTTAACCCTTAAATCCTAAGCCGTAGAGGCGGCACAGAGTCCTATACCCTCAATCTCAAAGCCTGCACGGCCGGGCTCGCTTCCGGCATCCAATCGGGGCTACTACCCCTCGGTTTAGGGTTTAGGGTTT